CCGGCCCCCGCAGCCTTGACCGGCTGGGCGCCGGCGAGCCTGCTACCTCAGCCTTCCAAGCAGCTGGAACTACAGGCACGCGCTACCACGCCCAGCTGATTTTTTTTTTTTATTGTGGAGATGAGGTCTCACCAAGTTGCCCAGGCGGGTCTCGAACCCACGGACTCAGGCAATCCACTCACCTCAGCCTCCCAAGGCGCGGGATTACAGGCTGAGCCACCGAGCCCGGTTTAGTGAGGCTCTTAAGTAAATCCTGGCATTCATCATTTTATATGAAAGGTTAGCAAGAGTTACTTATCTTGAGGTCTCAGGGGAGCAGAAAGGAGGACCTGCGTTTGAAATCATTTCTAAGTTACTGAAATCTTTACTTTTAGAATGAGCGAGAAGTATAATTTGCTGTTGCCTAAGATTTGAAACAAGTGGTAGGATGTATTTACTTCACTGATTTTTTTTTTCTGAACAAATAGTGAATAAAGATCCTTTTAAGAATCAGTCTACTTGATAATCAGTAATGATTTTAGTTCACTTATGCTTATGCTCACCTCTTATGTTATGTCCAGGACTTATAAATAGAAAATAAAAAGGAGCTAAAATCTCTGTTTTGAACATGTTTGTTGTCATGTGTCATTACAATTATAGTAGAATCAAGTAAAACTGGTAATACACTTTTCATCTATCAATGTTTTATTTCTTGATATATTTGGAAAGTGATTAAGAGAGGCTTGTGATATTATATGTTTTGACAATCTAGGTTCACAAAAACCTTAGTTTGGTAAATATTTTTATGTATTTCAGAATATGATGCTTTGGCAAAAGTAATCCAACATCACCCAGACAGGCATGAGACATTAAAGTAAGTTTAAAGCTTTACTTTGAAACAAACTAACCTTTATGCATAAATGTTCAACTGCTAGCCTAGGTTAGCAGAATTTTTTCTGTTTGTTTTTTGCAGAAATACATATTTCAAAAGGAGGGGACAGATCTTCAATATTATATTGTCTAATACTGCTTGATTCAATATTTTTTCTTTCTCTGAACTTACAGCCCGTAGGGGTAAAATAAATGCATGTAATATGCATCAATAGGGCAATGGATAAATAGAAATATGGTCTATTCATATAGTAAAATACTAAATTGTGGCTTAAAAAAAAATAGATAACACTTTAAAACACGGGTCTCAAAACATTCAGTGACTGGGCACAATGGCTCACACCTATAATCCCAACACTTTGGGAGGCTGAGGTGTGAGGATTGCTTGAGCTCAGAAGTTTGAGACTAGCCCAGGCAACAAAGTGAGACTTGGTCTCTACACAAATCCAGAAAAATTAGTTAGGCATATGGGTGCATGCCAGTAGTCCCAGCTTCTTAGGAGGTTAAAGCAGAAGGATCACCTGAGCCCAGGAGGTTGAGTCTACGACCACAAGTCTGCCACTGTAGCCCGGGCGTCAGAGTGTGACTCTGACTCAAAAAAAAAAAAAAGTGAAAAACAAAGTCATATAATGAACTTTAAATTAGTTCTAAGTTTCTGAAACACATACAGAATAATAACCTTTCATCTAAAAATGTAATTTTAACAAAAATGGTGCATATTTCGGCCTTAAGAAATCTTTCACTTTAAGCTGCAAGTGTATAACACACCATAATGGAGTGTTATAATGCCTTATCCTGTTTTTACTTTTAAAATCCTATTTAGTAACTAAGAAGTTAGACATTAATTATAAACTTTGTTCACCCAATTAGCAAAATATAACACTTTTATTTTTTCCAGGGAACTGGAGGCTCTGGGAAAAGAATTAGAGCATCTTTCACATATTAAAGAAAGTGTTGAAGATAAGGTATTTGCATATATATATTGTATAAACATATAAGTATCACAAAGTTAGACTTCGTGATATGTATATGTTTATAGATGTTTGTATAAATTTTTTTCTTGTTAACACAGCTGGAATTGAGACGGAAACAGTTTCATGTGCTTCTTAGTACCATCCATGAACTTCAGCAAACACTGGAAAGTAAGTATAAATAGTCTTAAAATGAATGTTTGTGAAGATTTTTAAATGACCTAGGGGTGTGCCCTTTGATGTATGTACCTTCCATTTCTGAACAGAATGGCTAGATGACATTAGAAGACACTCATGTTGTTCCACTTCTGAATATATGTAGAAAAATCTTAATTGGTAGTAGTATATGATTTGAATATGTACCTAGAAGTATAAATTAAGACAAAGTCAGGGATGATAGATTTGCAAGTTTTCTGGGTTTATTATAGTTTATTACTCTAAAATAATGACTCAGAAACCAGGCAGGTAAGTAATCAGTACATAAGAATATTCCCATATCCAGTGAATGGTGGGTGCTTTGGAGAACTGGAGACTTGCTCTTTATATTCACTGTACACAACTGGAAACTGCTGTGTTACCTGATCTTCTGATTGTTTTCAAAAACAGCGTAAGACCTGGATATTTTTTTTAAGTGAAGTCTGTAATACAAATTTTAAATTTTAATTCAACTAATAAGTAACAACAAACAGCACTTTTTTTTTTTAATTTTTGAGTCAAAATCTCCCTGTCACCCAGACTGGAGTGCTGTGGCACAATCATGGCTACCGCAGCCTCAGCCTGCTGGGCTCAGGCAATCCTTCTGCCTCAGCCTTCCAAGTAGCTGGAACTACAGATGCACACCACCATGCCAGCTCATTTTAATTTATTGTAGAGATGAGGTCTTGCCAAGTTACCCAGGCTGGTCTTGAACTCCTGGGCTTAGGCAGTCTGTTCACCTCAGCCTCCCAAAGTGCTGAGATTACAGGTGTGAGCTAGCATGCCTGGCCCCAAACAACACTTTTAAAACCAAACATTTATGTGAGCTGCAGTCGTAGGCCATCATTTACCATTTTGCTTTAAATGTGTTGGCCAATAAAGGATAAACAGTTTTCATGTATTCATTAAACATAAAATTTAGCCAAATTTGACTAAGGTTTTGTGATTCTTAATTACAGATGATGAAAAGCTCTCAGAGGTAGAAGAAGCTCAAGAAGCAAGCATGGAAACAGATCCTAAGCCATAGACAGGCAAATTACTCACCATTCCCAAGAATACTGGAATAGCTACCATGATCTTAGTGTATTTAAAATTTGTTGTGCTCTCAAGATAAAGTTTTATCAGTAAAATACTTTGCTTTTAATTATTAATGAACATTTCATTTGTATTTCCTCACACAAAGGGAAATGAATATAGATTTGTTTTCTATTGAAATGTATCTTTTATCCTTAAAAGATAGGAAGCAACATTTTAAAATGTTTTATCAAAGTGTTTTCAAGCTGGACATGTTTGTGCTCATTAGTTTTTTGGGTTATTTGTAACTGAACATTGATTGGCTTACAAAATAAGTTGAAGTTTGTGAGAAGGTGGCATTTCTAGGATGTACATGAGAAAATGGGCCAATTTCTGGAAATGTTAGTACATGAATAGGCTTCGGAAAGGCCAAGCATCTGTGATATTATGTATAAAGCGTTTATAGTGTATGCTTATTGGGTGGGGAGATTTCATGATGTTAAGACTCACTGGAGTGAGAGGTGGTTACAAGATGCGAAGTAAATTAATATTCATTACTTTCTTTATCTCCCTAATACATGAGGAATATGGTGTTTTGTTGATGTTTTATCTCTTCTTTAGGAGTCATTTTCAATAGAAACAAATGTATCAAAACAAAGTTGTTTGAGGTAGTTTGTTAAGATTGTCTTGCATAAATAATTTTGTAATCTTTTAAATGATGTTACATTTTTGTAGTTTTAAGAAGAATTTTTATCTTTAAAAATGAAAGTTTAAAATTAGCTCAGTTGTAATCATATTAAAATTGTCATAATACCTATAAATGCTTCCTCTAATTTCACCTGGCAAGTCTTGGGAGGAATTTCTTTTCAGAATTGCTATGCTGCGACAAATGTTTCTGTTTTCCATTATTAGTAAGAATTATGAAGCAAAAATGTACTTATGATATTGACTCAGGATTAAAAATCATTTTTTCAAAAAGGATCATTATTTTTTAAAGGACTGTTAGGCAGACTATTCTTTAAAAATGCTCCCCACCCCCTCTGGTTAATTCACTAGAGAGATTTATTCAGGATTATGTACCAAAAGATAAGAATCTCTATAGAGGTAACTTTTATACAGTCAGGAACAAAATCAGAAGCAGCAGTAGGTACATGAGAAACACACATTTTTCAATCTGTATTTCCTCATGGTTCTTTTGGATATCCTCTGGAACTGCTTAGAAGACTGAAGAATTTCATCTCCTAGAAACTCACACTGTTGAAGCTCAGCGTGTCTTTGGGCCAATAGCCTCATGGATTTATCAGTCACTGTTTCTATGAGGTCATCCACCTGTGACAGACAGATACAAGGAAATGAAGCCATGTTTTAGAAAGACTTGTCAAAACCAAAGGGATAGTTGCTTTTCCTAAGACATGAGTTTGGGAATTGTTGGACATTTTCCAAGTATCAAGGTTTTATTCCAATTCAAGTCATGGCAAACAAAGCTTGAAAACATAAGTTTACCACCCAGTGTTAAAGGTGATCTAATTTCTTCTCAAAAAAATCCATGTATATGCTTCATTTTAATTGAATTCATTTAATACTTATTAGACACACAGCATCATCCTAGGTGTTCTTGGAAATCCTTTAGCCACTCTCAGAATGCCACCCCAACATTATTTCTTAAGGGTAATCATTAATTTCATCCCACATCTGTGCTGTCCAGCAGGACTATGCCTTCATTTAAGCCTGACTCATGCTTCTGTGACACAAAAATAAAAACCTTTGTCCACTACCTGCATTTGAAGCTTTCCCACTGTCAAATCTGATTTTTGGAGGATGTTTTCCATGCCATGTTTTTTTTTTCTAAGTGCTGGAAAGTGTGGTCTCTTTTTTGATGAATATGGACCCTATTGTAAAAATGCAAAAACACATCAGATTAGGAAGTACCAACATCATTTCTGTGACGGCGCGTAAATGAGATTTCTCAGCCTTGGGACATTCTCTTCTAAACTGAACATTTGCCATCTAACAACATTGGGCTGGAGACCATATTCATATTATTCTCCACGCCCCATGTATCCTCTTTGTTCCCAGAGCTCGCTTTGAAGAGATCTATAGGGTGCAGAGAAATGAGATTGTCTGGCTCTGAAAGAATATACAGCGTCAGGAAAAAAGCAGGTCATTCGTGAGGGGAAGGAGAAGAAACTGCCTCTGCAGCTGCTGAGCACAGTGAGAGTGTGGGGCTGTTGTGGACCAGTGCCCCAGAAAGCTCATTATCACTGGATCCAGTAGTTAATTTGGTCTCGTTTCTGCAGGGTTCCTTATTTTCTTGGCAGCCATGTCTTCAAACATAAAAAGAAAGCTCTGGGTTCTCTTGCCCCATGCCTGATATTTTTCTTGTCCCTGAATTACTGGTTACAAGTACCTTTCCTAATAGTGTTGCTGCTAGAAGTTATTCTTAGGTCATGTCTCCTGGCCAATATGCCCTTTTTAGTCTTTATCAAGTTCACTCTTTTTTCCCTTGGGCTGAAGAATTAGCATTAGGACTATTGTGAGACCTACACAAAGTAGGATGTGGGACCACATGTGGGTCCTACCCTTTGCTTGACGAAGGAGTTTATGGATATAGTCTGCCAAACCACTGCTCCCTGCCAGCTTGCCCCTGCTCAAATGCCACTTGCTGAACCTTCCCTGATCTTTCTTAAGTAAGACCCATTTTTTCTTTCTCTCATAAAACTCAATACTTTTCCCTATTAAGATCCTACCATACTTGGTAATTACTAAGTTATCTCTGCATTTGTTGAATACAGCTGTTATAAAGTCCATTGCCTATGCAAGTTTTGTAAAATAGGACCAGTTAGGGCTAGTGTGCACTGGAGAGAACAAACCTCCCACAGTTACCTCTGTTCAGCTCCTGTTTGTTGCCAGGAGGAATTGTGAACCTAGTGTTTTCAGATATTTTATTTAAACACACACACAAAGTTGAAAATCCAGAATTATGCTTGAATTATCCTAATTTTTAAATATGGACAACTAACCCAAATATATTTTTGAGAACATTCTGATGGCTAAACAAAACACTTTTATAGCCAGTTGACAATGTCTGCTCTGATGTCTTTTGATGAACAGAAATTTTTAATTTAACTATAGCCAAATGGATCCATTTTTATCTTTATGGACAGTGCTGCTCATGCCCTAAGAAGTCTTTTGATATTATCCTGAAGTTATGAGAATATTCCTATTGTCCTCCAGAAGTTTGAAGATTTTGCCTTTCCCACTTAAGTCTATAATTCAACAGAAATTAATTCTTGTATATGGTGCAAGATGGGGATCAAATTTTTTTTTTCTATATGGATGTCCATTTGTTCCAGCACCATTCGTTAAAAGCTCCACAAAAGCAGGACCATGACCATTGGATCATCTTTGTAGCCCCAAACCTAAAAATTGCCCAACATACAATAGGGGTACAATAAATAAGAACGTAGCACACAAAAGGCAAAAATTAAAGCCAATATTGGGTACAGGCGTGGTGACTCAAGCCTGTAATCCCAGCACTTTGGGAGGTCAAAGTGAGGGGATTGCTGAGCCCACGGGTTCAAGAACAGCCTGAGCAACTTGGCAAGACCTCATCTATACAATAAATCAAAAAATGAGCCAGGCATGGTAGCATGTGCCTATAGTTCCAGCTACTTGGAAGGCTGAGGTGGAAGGATCGCTTGAGTCCAGCAGGTCAATGCTGGGGTGGCCTTGAGCATGCCACTGCACTCCAGTTTGGGCGACGGAGTGAGACTCCAACTCAAAAAAAAAAAAACAACAAAACGAATATTGGTGCACTCTGACAGTAATATTCTAGAGCAGTGCAGTTCAGTGGAACTTTCTATGAAGAAAGTTCTGTGCTGTCCAACACAACAGCCACTAGCTACATGTGATTATTGACCACTTGAAATGTTACTGGTCCAAATGGGGAACCAAACTTTAATTTTAATGAATGCAACATCACATGTGGCTATTGACTACCATATTGGACGACACAGTTGGATGATACAGTTAGTATGTGGCACAGTGATTAAGGGTAAGGACTCTAGAGCCACCTCTTTCTAGGTTTGAAGCTTGGCTCTGTCATTTATCTGGGCAAATTACTTAACATCTCAGGGCCGTCTATAAAATTAGGGTAATATTGCTACCCACTTTATGGAACTATTGTACAGATTATCTGAGTTAATATTTTAAAAACACTTAGAACAGGGATTGGGACATAGCTTTAAGTGCTTATTATATTTAAAATTATAATAATAGTTCAGAGTTCTATTTTTACAAATAGCCTGAGCAATGTAGGCTCAAACATACATACCTACAGATGAGTAAAAGCTTTGGTTTGAAGAATCCTGGATCACTTAGTTCTGTGCTTTCTATGCTGTACTTGGGGCTACCTACATTTTTACTTCAATGAAAGTTAAGTAAGATTAAAAAGGCAATTCCTCAATTGCACTGACCACATTTCAAAGTCTCAAAAGCCACATGTGGATAATGGCTACTATATTGGACAGTGTATACCTGCATCCTAACCGAAAGTTCTATTGGACAGCACTGATTTGGTGAATTCCTCTCCACATAGCGTGCACAGACAGGCCAGACTGCTAATATACTAAGTTGACTTGGACACTTGAGAAAATTGGTATAAAGCTTCAAATTCCACTGTTGCCCAGGTTGTAGTGGAAGATGAACAGTTTGGGTTTGAAAGAATGTAGAGGAATCTGACCTGGAAAGCCTGCTATTTGAGCTCTGAATTCTTAGAGAGGAGACACAAGCAGCAGATTTAAAAAGGCTATTATGGGGAACTCATGGTAGGCGAGAACTCAGTTTTTGCAAAATTCCTAAACACTGAGTGTAAGTCTTTAGAGCAAGTTTGCTTTTGCATTATACCTTTTGCAGTCCTGAAGGGAGAGACGTCACAGATAATCGCTTGGTGGTTCTCCTGGCCCGGAGGAGTGTATTTCCTTGGGTTATCTCCTCTGTCTCTGCCTCTACAACATCAAATTGTATAGTCGCTTGGAGAAAGGGGAGGAAAAAGAAACCTGTAAGGATCACAATTGTAAACACGTTCTTCTTATTAAAAAGTACAATATTCTGAAAAGACAGCATCACATTCTGCCTCAGTAGTTTTTTTCTTTGGGGTCAAAAATTTTTTTAAATTGTGCTTTTCCTAGTCTGGGTACGGTGGCTCAAACTTGTAATCCCAGCACTTTGAAAGGCCAAGGTAGGAAGATCACTTGAAGTCAGGAGTTTAATATCAGCCTGGACAACATAGCAAGATCTCATCTCTACAAAAAATAAAAAAATTAGCCAGCATGGTGACTACGCCTGTAGTCTCAACTAATTGGGAGATTGAGGTGGAAGGATCACCAGAGCCCAGGAGGTCAAAGCCACAGTGAGCTGTGATGGTGCCACCGTACTCCAGTCTGGGATACAGAGCAAGACTCTGGCTCAAATAATAATAATAATAATAATAATAATAAATAGTTTTGCTTTTCCTAATCTTACACCTTCTCCTGTCATTTGTTATAGTCATGACCTCAGTGGACACCCACCCAGTCTTCACAAGGTGGTTACCTTTCTCTCTTTAAGACTAAAGTTTTGGCCTGCATTGCATTTCCCATTAACTACTGTGAAATTAAAAAAATATCCCTCTAATGTGCATGTCTCTTGACTATTTGTTGTTGATTGAAACAAAGTTTAAATCTATTCTCCAGCAATGTGGTTCAAGGCTCAGTCATTTACATACCATCTTACTGGTTTTTCCATGTCTAGGAGCCAGGTGAACTTGAATTCCTTAACATTTTTCTTTATATCAATTCAGTGCTAAACTCAATCAAGGTATTCATAAACAAAACTATAAAACACTACTATAATTGAAGACCAGTATCATAAATAGGCAATACAATTAATACTAAAAACAAAACCATATTACTTTTTGCAGAAGACACTAAACTTGAGGTTACCCTCTTTTTCTTAAAAAAAAAAAAAAAGTGGGGGCGTGAAATGAGACATTTTCTTTGATATAGTCAAAAGGATGACAAGGCATTAGGGAAAAGGTTGCTTGCAATTTACTGTATGTTTCAGCACCGCTTCACGTTGTGTGCAGCCCCTGAATCATCTAGTCCTGTTTAAGGCCCCTTGATAAGGACTTCTCTGGGAGCCTGAGACCTCAATAAATACATTAGCCTACTTGACACGTCCACTTGGCTATTGGGCAGGGACCTCAAATCAGCAAGTCTAACCAGAACCCACGATTTCCTTTTCAATCCAGGTCCTCTGCTCCTAGCCTTAGTGAATGGTATATCCACCTTCAAAGCAGGTGCTCAACCCAGAAATTTCCCCTCCCCTTTCCAGTCCCTCACTGTCCAACCCTTTCCCAAATCTAAAATTTCTACTTATGCTTATTTCTCCCTTTATCTTCCCATTCCCTCTACCACAACTAATCCAAGCTAATGTCCTCCTTTGCCTGAATGAATGTAAGATTCTGTTTGTTGCTCTTTCTGGATCTTCTCTTAGCCTTGTCCTCTCCAGTTTTTATTCTGCAGCTAGAGCTGTCTTTTAAAAATGCAAATCAGATTATATGAATCCCCAGTTTGAAAATATTCAATGATTTTTTTTTTAATCACCCTTAGAAGACAGTTCATTCTTAATGTGGGCTTCAACACCCTTGCCACTTCATTCAATCAGCCTCTTCCGGCTCTCTGCTCCAACATCCCCTGGTTTCCTTTGATTTCTTAATTATGTCACCTGATATTGGAACTTGAACATGCTCTCCCTGCTTCCTGGGAACTGTTATCCCCTGCCCCTCTTGCCTTGGTTAATTCTTAGCCATTCTTCAGATCTCAATCTAGTTGTCCCTTCCTCAGGGAGGCCTTTTCTGAGACCCCACCCCTAAAGTTAGAAACATCTGTGATTTGTCTTCATAGCATCCTGTGCTTCTATTTGCATCAGATAGATTTGGCTGTATGTTTCAAAGTCCCTCTATGCTGTAACTCCATGAGGTAGAGGCCATGTCTGTTCTTTTTGCTACTCTATCCCTGACATTGTGGCTGCCATATATTAAGTACTTCGCAAATATTTGTAAAGTAGATAAAAAATATTATGAAGGTCAACAGAGAAGAGCAACTGGTTTGGGGCTACAACAAAGACAGGGTAATAATGTTTGAGCTGCATCCTAAGGAATGGGCATGCTTTCTGGAGAAATCTTAGTTGAGATTTGTTATTCTGACTAAGATGAAAATAAATCAATGCATGGATTAGGAGTAGAAATTTGGTCTTCTGTTTTCTGCTGGACTATTAACTCCAGCCTCAGCAGTATAGAAGCACATATTCTTTGTTATTTTCAACAGAAATGTACAGATCAATCCATACCAGGTAACTGCTAGATGCCTGGATGCTTATACTAGTGACTGCCTTTTCCAGAACAGAGAATTTTAAATCAGTCAGCTGGACTCCATCACTTTTTTTGTTTTTTTCTTTTTTTTTTCTCCTGGACAAAGCATCCACCAGATTTGTAGCCTGATCACTGTGTGAAATGTGAGGCTGTATGTATATTTACATATACTATAAGAGCTATATCTGTTTCCTGATATTGTGCTATGAAGATTGTAAAAAAGCTACAGTGGATATTTAGGACAGTGAAATTATTCTGTATGATACTGTAATGGAGGACACATGACATGGCATTATATATGTGTCAAATCACATAAAACTGTACAATATAAAAGGAGAGCACTAATGTAAACCTTGGACTTCGGTTAATATATTAAGACTGATTCATCAATTGTAGCAAATGTTACATACTAAGGCAAGGTGCTAATAGGAAAAACTGTGAGGGTAGGAAAAGGAAAGGGTGTATATGGGAATGTTACATTTTCTGCTCAGTTTTTCTCCCTCCCTCCCTCCCTTCCTCTCTTCTTTCCTTTCTCCTTTCCAATCAGAGTCTCACTCTGTCACTCAGGCTACAGTGTAGTGGCCTCTATGTGCTGGGCTCAGGTGATCCTTCTGGCTCAGTCTTACAAGTAGCTGGAACTACAGGTGTGTGCCACCACACCTGGCAAATTTTTTGATTTATTGTGGAGATGAGGTCTTGCCAAGTTGCCCAGGCTGGCCTTGAACCCCTGGGCTCAGTCAATCCATCAACTCCACCTCTCAAAGTGTTGGGATTACAGGCGTGAGTCATTGCACCACGTCTTCAATTTTTCTGTAAATCAAAAACTATTATAAAATATAAAGTCTATTGATTTTTTAAAAAAACTACAGATAATGCTAACATTGATGGCATTGTTAGTCATGACTCATGGGACCCTAAACAATGGCATTACTACTTTGCGAAAAAGTCTTAAAATTAACAGTTCAAAAGTTGATTCTTCCACACACTACATAGAAAGTACATATAATAAAATCAAACATTCTTTATGACTTAGAAGTTCTAAATGTTATTCCTTTAATTCTTACTACACCATCCGTTGTCAGAAGTAGTCACTTGAAATTCTGCATCACTACTTTCTCCAAAAACAAAACTAATTCCACTTTAGTTTGATTTTCTAGTATATGTATGTGTATGTAAATAAGCATATACACACATATACGCATGTGCATGAATCTATTTAAATAAACAGTGACTTTAGATCGATTAAACCACTGATTAATTGAACTGGGAGGAACCTCAAAGGCAGTCTAATGCAGTTCTCCTCAAAATGTATTTACATATGAGTCACATAAGAATATTGCTAAGGTGCAATATTCTGACTCAGTCTCTGACGCAGAAGGCCTGGGAGGGGGCCTGAGATTCTGCATTTCAGACAAGGTCCTCAGAGACACCGTACTTTGGAAAGCAAGAAAATCCATCCTAATTTCACTATACCGCTTGGACTCCACATAATGATAAATTGTCTTGATTACCATTCTCTGCGAGCTTTCTCATCTTTGATTTGGCAAATAACCTTGGAGATGGAAGTTCCCTGACAGTTCTGGGAAGAAGGCTCTGTATGTTTGAAAGGAGAGCTTCCTTATTGTCAGTGGAGTCCTCTTTGCTGGAACTTGCTAGCTTGCTTCTATGCTTGTATGGCAGCATCCTCCCAAAAGCAGTCTTCACTTTCTTCATCAAGTTTTGTTTCTGATTTCGTTGGCTTTTACAAAATCGTATGTCACTATCACTGGATGATTCCTCTTTGGGGACCAATATGTTTTGCTTTACTAAGTTGGTAGACACAGCTCTATGCCATCTAAACAACAACAACAACAACAAAACACCCTAATTTGCATTAAGGAAATTGAAAAGTTGAAAGTAAACTATTTAAATCGCTAAAATGCAAACTTCAAGTATAAACAAATTAAACAATTCCAAAAAATGAAATTGAAGATCAAAAATCAAATCACAGAAGAATAAAGTCAAAGCAACTATTGGTGCTTTGTTACCAAATTGTAGTAAGTGCAATCTGGCCACTATTTCATTTAATCACAGTACTATACGAGGTAGGTTATATTATTATCTTCATTTCACTAATGAGTAAACTGAGAGGTAGGTTACATTAATTGACCAAAGGTAGAATGCAGATTTTAATCCAGGTCTGTGACTGTTAGAATCCATTAACTCATATTGGCAAACATACTTCAATGACAGTTTGAGGTCGTTTTTTGCTGAATTTGGCAGTTCTAAAGAAACTAAAGGAATGAAATGAGAGAGTCTGCTAGGATATTCAGTATGGAATATAACCTCCAGGGCCCCATAAATGCTGCATCACATAGATCATTCATTTAGATGACATAGTATAAACTCATGTATAGGGAGTACAAGTACCATCTTCATAATTTTGGCATATTTTAGTATTTTAATAACCATAGATAACAGTTCCTGACAGCTTTCTATGTGCTAAACACTCTTCTAAGTGCTTTCATGTGTATTGCATAATTTACTGTTTATACTGTCATCTCCATTTTACGCATGGGGAAGTTAAATCTTGGAGAGATTAAAATAATTTGTGCAAAGATGATCTGATCCAAGATCTGTGTTGCTAATCTTGTGCTACCATGACTATCACCTATACCATGACACTATTATAAGCAGTAAGTAGTATTAGTATTAGTATTCTGAGTTAGGATCACACTCTGTTGCCCAGGCTGGAGTGCAGTGGCATGATCACAGTTCACTGCACCCTTGAACTCCTGGGCTCAGGTGATTCATCCACCTCAGCTTTCTGAGTAGCTGGGACTACAGGCACGCTTCCTGTAAAACTCCTGGCTAATTTTTCTGATTTTTTTGTAGAGATGAGGTCTCGCTAGGTTGCTGAGGCTGGCCTCACTTATTTTTGTTAGCTTTATCCAAAGGAACAATATCCATGAAATTCCAGGTACTTTTTTTTTTTGAGTTGGAGTCTTTGTCACTCAGACTGGAGTGCAGTGGCACGCTCACAGCTACCCCAGCCTCAACCTGCTGGGCCCAGGCAATCCTTCCAACTCAGCCTTCCAAGCAGCTGGGACAAGCCATCATCCCAGCTAATTTTTTGATTTGTTGTAGAGAGGAGGACTCACCAAGTTACCCAAGCTGGTGTCAAATCCCTGGGCTCAGGCAATCCTCTCACTTCAGCCTCCCAAAGTGCTGGGATTACAGGTGTGAGCTACCATGCCTGACTTCCAGGTGCTTTTTAATTTTAATTTTGAGGTCATTATAAATTCACATGCAGTTTTAAGAAATAATACCGAAAGACTCTATGCACTCATTACTCAGTTTATCCAAATGGTCACATCTTGCAAAACTGTTAGTATGTGATCACAACCAGGATATTGACATTGATTCAGTCAGGATACAGAACATTTTCAGCAAACTGGGATCCTGCATTTTTTATAGCCACACCTACTTTCCACTTGCCCCGCCTTTTTAACCTGCAGAACACTAATTTTTCCTTCATTTGCATAATGTTTATTCCTTCAAATGAACTCACACAGTATGTATATATATAATAATCTTGACATTTGCTTTGTACACTCAGCATAATTCTCTGGGCATTCATCCAGGTGGTGTGTCGCAACAGTTCATTTTGTTTATGAAATGTTCATTGCTGAGTAATATTCTATGATGGGGATGTGCCACACATTGTTTAGCCATTGACTCATTGAAGGATATTTGAGTTGTTTCCAGTTTGGGGCCGGTAAGAATAAAGCTGCTAAAAACATTTGTGTACAGGTTTTGTGTGAACATAAATCTTAATTTCTCTGGGTGAAATCCACATTTTATATTATATTTGTTATTATGTTATATTAAACATAGGGTATATTTATAATATGGATTAAAATAAATTCATAAATTAATTTATAAAATAAATTCATTGAAGAAATTAAAAACGTTATTCATATAGTACCTAAAATATCTAATGTACCACCAGTATCCCCTTCAGGAAAACATTGTTCTAAACAGAACCTAAATCATTCAGCCTTCTCTGTAATTATACACAGAAGGCAGTTCAGTGAGAGCCCAGTCACTGGCGTTAAATGGTATTGGTCCAAATCAGAACCACAATTCCTGTGTGACCCTCGGCATGTCATTTAACCTCTATAAGCTTGGGTTTGCTCATGTGAAAATGGGCATACTCTTCTCAGAATGGTAAGAATAAAGGGAAATAAGTTATGTATTTGGACGGAATAAAGCATTCAATAAATGATACCTTTATGATCGTGTGGATCAGGTCTGTGTAGGAAAAATTTAAAAGACCAGGGGAAGCACACAGTAGAGGGCAAAGGAAGAGAGATAGTGTAGACTAGTAGCCTCCCTTCTGGGAGCAGAAATAGGGTTCTGCACTTTGCAGACACACAACTGCCAGGGCGTTTATTCACTATTCACATTTAGTCCTTAGTGTTGTGTATAATTATTACAATAATTTTTTGGCAGATGACAGTAAAGTATCTCAAGGAAGGAGTGTCATTTTCTTTTTTTTTTTTTTTTTGAGTTGGAGTCTCTCTGTTGCCCAGACTGGAGTGCAGTGGCTGCTCCTGGCCACCGCAGCCTCAACCTGCTGGGCTCCGGTGATCCTTCCGCCTCAGCCTTCCAAGTAGCCGAAATTACAGGCATGAGCTACCATGCCCGGCTGATTTTTTGATTTATTGTAGAGATGAGGTCTTGTTGCCCAGGCGGGTCTCGAACCCGCGGACTCAGGCAATTCACTCACCTCAGCCTCCCAAAGGCGCAGGATTACAGGTTGAGCCACCGAGCCTGGCTAGGAGTGTCATTTTCTAATTCTGTTCCCTGGACTAGGATTAATCTGCAGTGAACCCCTCTGAGATTCTTAATAATTTTAATTTTTAAATAATTTCTACTACTAGAAAAGTGAAAACATGCATAAACACACAGAACAACAGGGGCACAATTTCAGGAAGTTCAGGAGTCCTGAAGGTCATCAGTGCAATCTCTCAGATAAAATTCAGTTCTATAAAGTCTTTGAAACCTCTAGACTGTTCCTCCACTGCCACCATCTCCAACCTCACTCAAGATCTATTGATAACATAATCAACAAAGATGATTTTGCTCCAGGGTCTAGGAATAGAACTGCTGCAATTTCTAGTATGAGCTGAACCCTTCCCTTAAGTTTTTAAATATTTTTGTGTTGGTACTGAGTGTATTTGGTTGCACTGCTTCTTGTTTGAGCCTCTATTTCTTATTGAGAGTGTAAATCTCTGCAATCTTATTTTGTCCATGGAAGTTAATAAGTTCAGTCTTTGAGGATTCTGACCTCATGAAAACCTCTCACTACATGTCTGAGTTGCAGCACATGGGTAAGAGAGAAGCCCAAAGAAATTGGAAAATAAATCACCACACTGACTTTCCAAATTAAGAAGTATTATGTTTTGAAAGTTTTATACCTATCTTTATAGTTTTGCCATTGGTAAGAAATATCAGATCTAATACCAGTTTTTGTTTGTTTCTGAGTCAGGGTCTCACTCTGTCAGCAGGCTGGAGTGTAGTGGCATAATCACGGCTCACTGCACCCTCGACATTCAGGGCTCAGGTGATTCTCCTGTGTCAGCCTCCTGAGTAGCTGGGACTACAGGTATACACCATCACACTCAGCTAATTTTTTTATTTTTTATTTTTTTGTATAGACAATGTCTTGCTGTTGCCTAGGCAGGTCTCAAACTCCTGGCCCCAAGCAATCCTCCTGCCTCAGCTCCCAATGTGTTGGGATTATAGGCATGGGCCACCGTGCTCAACCCTAAGACAGTTTTAAAGTTACATTAAACAGTGTGGATGCCGAGTGAAATATGAATAGTACACATTGCAGCAGACAAAATTGCTGGGACAGCAAAAAGAAAGCATTGATTGTGGACTTACTTTGAAGAATGCACTGATTAATTTTCAAAATAATAGTATTTGCAGAGGATATGTAAAATTTTGATGCTAAAATATCAACTTATTTTGGTCTCATATCCCACGTTAAAACTCAAATTCAGGTAGACAGGAAAGATTTTCCCCATTACAATTAAGACTTTTCTGATCATAAAGTGAGGCTTCCTTTGTGGCACTAGGTTCCCTGAACCACTGCAGTATCTTCCCTCCAACTCTAAATACGACAAAGTCTTCATTTCTAAATACAATGCTTAATAATAGACACTATTTTTTCCTAACCATCACAGTGAACTTGGTTTAATGCAAAATCCAAAGACTCTCACTCAATAGAAAAAAAAAGAAACTCCATTACCCACCTTTCAATCCCCTTCTTTTTGAAAGAGCCATTTTTCTTTTTGAGTTGTTGAAATCTTCTGTACTGGCCAACTTTTCCATAAGCCATCTTAAAAGTTTTTGGTAGGTATAGTTGAGGGTGAGCCATTGCTGTCAACTTCTCTTGAAGAGACCTTTTTTGATTTCTTTAGCTCTTGAGCTTACAGACTTCAAAACAAAATCATTCAGTTACTGAGTGCACTGTCAAGGTCTGGGTTGTTTGAGGTAAAGTATGTAGAAAATTTTGAGTCTCTTCTTTATTCGCTTCCAGGTGCTAGAAACATCATTTATGAGACTGGCCCCTGTTTGCAACTCCACAACAGTCACCAATGATGCATTTGACATAGGTGTGTGAAATTCCATGGTACTTTGTGAAAACACTTTGTAAATTCTTGGACAAGGCAGATGCAGAAATGGTAAACTGACTGTTTAACCACTGCCATTTAAATACTCAATAAAAACTCACACCCCAATGGAAGAACACATTCAGATGTGCATGTTTGAATTCCAAAAGGGAAAAAACCTGAAGGAATACCAATGGTTTGCTGATCAACAATGTTGAGCCTCTGTTAACTCTCGCAATTAGAACTGCTTAATGTTCTCTCTGTCCCGTGGGTCTCACATCACAAGGTCAGTTGTTGTTTAGACTTCTCAAAGTGTACCCCAAGGGCTACTTCATTACGTCTTGGAATTTTGTAGTGGTTTCTCAAAGTACACTGCTGAAAAAGCTGAAGACCTGACCCACCCTTCCCTTCCCTCATTTATTTTGTGGCAAAGAGCAAATTCTGCCTGGGTTAGAACGTCTCACCACAAGGTGGCAGCAGACACTAGGATTTAGTCCCATCACGCTCGTTGGCGCTTTGTGATGTTTAGTCTGAAATAACTCGACGCTTAATAAGGAAAATTCCTCTAGAAAAGTGGTGGGAGATACAAGAATTACTCTGCTCCTCTCTATGTTTGTATCTATCAGCAATCTGGAGCAAGCTTTTCAAACTTCCAAGTGCACACGAATTACTTGGGGATCTTGTCAAAATGCAGATTTCAGGCGAGAAGTTCTGAAGTGGGATCCAAGAATTTGCACTTTTAACAAACTCCCTGGTGCTACTGATAATGCCACGCACCTTGAGTATTGAGGGACTTGTATGTTCCTGTACTGGGGAAAGAGTTTTAAGATGGTCAAGAATGACGTATATAATATTTAGGGGTTAAGAGAGTGAGTTTGGAAATTAAACTTGGGTTCTCATTCCAGCCCAGCTGTGTGACTTTAGTCTTTGCAACATAATTGTGCTTATTTTCTCATCTCTAAAGTGGGAAAACTAATAGTGCCTAATCCATCGTTTTATGGTAAGATCTCAGTGAAATAGAAATTCAACTTAAACAGGAAATGAGACCCAGGACTTCACATTTTAGGGATCACTCCAGGAGAGTGGGTGCGGTGTCTCTCTGTCCCACACTTTGAAAAGCCAAAGCACAACATATCTGATATGCTTTGGCCAAATGAGTGTGTGCTCCGGTCTGGTCTGTTTTTTCTTATCTGTTGGAATCCCCAAAGCACAATAAATAAGAGGTGCTTGAAGTAATGAATATATAAATGAGAATTTTCTTTAACCACAGGCCAATATTTTTCACACGATTATTGATATTGATGTCTTATTTCTGTTGTATTGAGTTAAATATCTGGATGAATGAGATTAATTTTATGTTAGGAAAGACAGCTGTTTTTTATTCATGCGTGTGTGTGTTTGTGTTTGTACATGTCTCTGTGTGTGCAAGTCTGTGTCTATACATATATGTAATAATGTAATAGACTAAGACTTTGCTGCTCTAGCTTCTGCAACAATATGTGTAGGTTCCCCAAAAAGTCCTGAAGCAGATGATGGAGTTAGAAAGAGTGGAATGAGGAGAAAGAGTCAGGACACAGACAGACTCCAATTCTGAGCCAGGTCTTAGTGCAAATTCTCACTCTACCTCTTACAAACTGTGAGCCATTGAGCAGGTGACAAAGTCTCCCTGGACCTTCGTTTCCTTAATTGTAATAACCGTGAATAGGCCTCCCAGGGTTGTTTTAGTCATTTAGTTACTCAACAAATATTTGAATGCCTAATGGTTGCCAGGTTTGACCCTAGACACCAGGGATACTGCAGTCAGTGCACAACACACACATGACCTCTGAACAAATATAACTTAAAATGCAGTGGGAAAGGCTGATAACAAACAAGACAATGAAGAAAATTAATTTCAGCTAGTGGTAAATTCTCCAAAGATAATATAAGAGCATGGTAGGATAGAGGGACTGAGGGCAAGGAGAAACTTCACTTGGGGTCAGGAAAGCCTGCCAGATGATCTCATGGGGCCTGAACACCGCACGGGAGAGTCCATCGTGTGAAGCTCTGTGTGTCCCATGTCCCAGGTGGATGAAACAGCAAGTCCCAAAGTCCCAGGATGGAAGAAGTCTCATGACCTTGAAAATGTATGATAGTTGGGAAGGTTGGAGCACGGAGGTGGGTGTATGTGACAAGCTGGGGAGATACGCCGGGCCAAACCTGTGAAACCCTACAGATCAAGTTACATATTTTGTGCTTGATCTTCAGAGCAGTGGAATGCTGTTGAGGATTTTTAAGGAGCTAGTCTATATATATGAGGGGGTACCCCCTAAAAAAATCCCTGGAATCATTCTTTGGAAGGTAGGGCCCTTGAAGTACAGGATTCCCCCACTGGGTTAGTGTTCTATGAACCCGTCAGTATCAGTGTACCAGCTAGTGTTGTTATAAGAGACTGCGTTCAGCTTCAGTGAATTTTTGAGGGGAGATTCTTTCAGTGACTTTGCCTATTTCATGATGGGTGATTTACAAGCTCCTGCCGACACCACATTGAGTGTTCAGCAGTTTTTGACCCAAAGCAGCATGATTCCCATGCCCCACTGTCTTGTCTCGAGTGACTTTTTTATCCCCTCAGATGAAAAATATCCTCAAAGGGAAACATTTTGCCCATGTGGAAGAGGTGGAATAAAAAATGGCAAAAACACTAAAAGGCATCAAAATTGATGAGTTCAAAAACTCTATTTTGAGCAGTGGAAAAAGTGTCTTGATAGGTGTATTGCATAAATTGGAGAGTACTTTGAAGAGACTGAAGTTTAAACATGTAAGAATAAATTTTTAATAAATAAATTCCAAGTTTTTTGGGTGGGGGTCCCTGTCATATTTATTCTGGGAAATGAGATTCAGCAGTGAAGAAAATGACTAGAATCCCTGCCTAGAAATTATAATACTAGGAGGGGACACAGACACCAAACATGGTAGCAAATAGAAAAATGGTTTCAGACACTGATAAAGAATGCTATGAAAACAATGATTAAGAAAATCTCTTAAAGAGGTGACATTTGACCAGGTACAGTGGCTCACGCCTGTAATTCCAGTACCTCAGGAGGCTGAGGTAGGAGGATTGCTTGAGGCCAGGAATTTGAGACCAGGTTGGATAACATAGATACTGTCTCTACAAAAAAAAAAAATAATAATTAGCTGGGCATGGTGGTAAGCATCTGTAGTCCCAGCTACTTGGGAGGCTGAGTCAGGAGGATCACTTAAGCCCAGGAGTTTGAGATTCCAGTGAGCTATGATAGCATCACTGCATTCCAGCCTGAAGATCCTGTCTCAAAAAAGAAAAAAAAAGGTGACATTTGATGAGATCTTTAATAGTGAAAGGGAGACAAACTATGCTAAGAGAGGGATTTCAAAGATGGAAGACTGCATGAGCAAAGTTTCGGAGGTGGGCCTGAAAAGGGTATGTTTGAGGACCGAAAAAGACAGTGGTGGGAACATAGATGACAAGAGAAAGCATAGTTGTGCATATGTTTTTAAAAGATTGCTGTGTGCAGCTTAGAAAACACACTAGAGAGGAAAGTGTGGTTTGGAAAGTCATTAGATAGGCAATTGGTTTAGGCTGTGGATGGTGATGATTGAGTAGTGAGATACAAGTGTGAAGACTCTGGCAGTGTTTAGGAAGTGTAATACTGAAATGCACTGGCTATTGGGGGTGACTAGAGAGAGGGTGATACGAGGTTGGAAAGTTATGTTATTACAGTATCCAAGTGTAAGTCTGCATAGTACCTTAACTAAGGAGAAGCATGGAGCTAGAGAGAAGGACACCAAATCAAGAGTCCCCCAGAAGTTTACTTTCCTTTTCAACCATCCTTTACAGGGCACAACTTGGAGCCAGCCCCATGAGATCACTCCCTAGACATTTTTAAACGTCCCTCTAAAAAAGCAAAAAGCCAGTCAGAGCAGGGCAAGGTCTGGTCAAAACACAATCTCCCTTGTTTTCAACATTTTTCTTCCATTGAACATGTCTGAGATTGCATAATCCTATTTAGGTAACCATGACAACAGTTGACTCCTATTGACATAGCAATTGATTGAAATCTCCAAGTCAGAGAGTGCTTGAATGCCCACAGGAGCCAGGTGGAGATATGTGAGCAGCAGTGGGTGGGGTGTAATAGGAAGGGATGGGAACTGTGCCCCACTGTAAAGTGGTGCACCAATCCGATCCTACTGAAGTTCAAATCTTTTAGAAGCGTCTTGCATTTAAAAATGTGATCTGGAGCCAGGTGCCGTAGCTCAAGCCTGTAATCCCAGCACTTTGGGAGGCTGAGGAGAGAGGACTGCCTGAGCCCACGGGTTCGAGACTAGCCTGGGCAACTTGGCAAGACCCCCCCCCGCCCCACGTCTACAATAAATAAAAAAATTAGCCGGTCACGATAGCACATGTTTGTAGTTCTGGCTACTTGGAAGGCTGAGGTGGAAGGATCACCGGAACCCAGCAGGTTGACGCTCGGGCAACCATGAGTGTGCCACTGCACTCCAACTTGGGTGATGGAGTGGGACTCCAACTCGAAAAAAAAAAAATAGTGATCTGCAGGCCATGTTTAGCTTGTCAGTCACCAATTTGCTGCCTCCAGAGATGTTTTTATGTAAACTGTCTGTTGAGCCAGGTCTCTCCCATCAGTGGTCTTAATGCTAATCTCTCCTACCCAAGCTTTAACTCAAACTTATTCACTAGCATTCAATGGACTCTTGGCCAATTATTAGATTGTTTGTGCATATTCTCATCATCTGGTTGTATACTAACCTTGCCTAGTAACGTGTAAACTCTCTGCAAACTTGGTAAGCTGAGATTCTGGATTTTGTTTCCAAGTATGGGTGAAACACATAGAACAGAGCAG